GAAAAAACACTACAAATATCCATTTTATTCAGTTTAAGGGTTATACCTGGAACTAATAACACAATCTGATAACAATATATACAAATTCTTATTTGGAATGGCTGGCATTATCACTAATAATGCCACCATTATTACAAATAATTGGCATTACTAAAAACTGGCATTATTACTTATAATTACTTATTAATTAATAGTTGGCATTATTACTAATATAATTTAGAGTTAAAACCTTTTCATTGTGAGAAATTTATATTGAATTATGTTTTCAAATTGAATTTTATTGACTAGTTTTAGATTTGTTTCCTTATATAGACTACTTATTTTACATTTACTAATAAGATTCCTGGCATTTATTCGTAAGAGTAGTGTTATGTTTTCCAGTTTTGCACATTTTATTCTAATATACCACCCTTCCAAGTCGGCAAATGGGAAAAGCAATTGCATGTTCTTGCACAAATGTTTAAAATAATAGCAATGATGCAGTGCGTAACACAAACTCACTTTTTGTGTACTGTTCATTAATTCCAGATCTCTTTCATTACTTCAGATATTTTGCATAATTTCCTGACTGTGAGAGATACACTTGAAGATGCATTTCCAGGCAACTCAAACAAGCCATTAATTCTCACTTATAACTAAAAGTGTTAATATGCCTTCAAGTGAAGTTCTCTGCTACTGTGATCACTGAAAACCATATTTGCTGTCAGCAGTTTCAATGCCTGATGCTAAGTAGATAAATCAGAGAACTGCCAGACTTATCAATGCCCAAGTATGAATTTCCTCTAAGTTTGACATATAGTTTGAATAAATGAACTGCCCCCCAAAGTAATAAATTAAAAGAAAAATAGAAAAGATGCATTATTCAATTTAGAAAGAGTCAAGGGAAGTTTCCTGGGTAGATGAAGTTTTATGAAAAGATTTTGATATAGGAAGTGTATTTGGATGATGTAAATTTAATTTGGATTTTCATTTTATTATGTCTCTTTGTAGAACTTTTACTGTTTTCCACTTAGTTTGGAGTTTTCCCTGTCAAGAGATCTTAAAATGTACCTGTTTAGAATATGAAACTCAAAGTAATTTGTCCTTACTTTTTCCTTGAACAGAAAAAAAAAAAGCGTTTGTACTACTATTACTATCACCCTTATACCACTATTATTATATATACAACTGTTACTTTTACTCTACCACCCCACTAATTGAAACACTTCAATGTATCATCAATGTAATATGGCATTAATTAATTAAGGTAAAACATAGGGCATTAATTTAATTTCCAATTGCACAATGTTATAATTTTCTTGTTTGATTGTGGCTTGGATAGTTTAAGTGATCTGGCCAGAATCACACAGCTAATGAGGGAATAATCAAGAATTCAAATCCATGACTGCATTTTTGTAAAGCTCATACTATTTTAGTTAATCATAATCCCAAAGTTGTAATTACTATAAGGCCTAGTACACGTAATGTAGTTCCACCATAATATACACATAACAGCTAGTTTTTTGTATGAAAAAAGCCAAATTAATTAATTGATGTAGAGTTTTGATGAAATCTACATCAAAATCCTAACAACTTGTCTTCTGAGCATTGGCAAATTGCCTCTAAATTTTATATGGAAAGGCAAAAACCCCAAATAGCCAACACAGTACTGAATAAGAACAAAGTCAGAGGACTGACAACGCCTGACTTCAAGACTTTCCATAAGAGAAGACAGGACCATGTCGAAGGGCCCCGTGCCCGGCGGCTCCGCAGCTTCCTCGGCGCCCCCGGCCGCTACCGCTCAGGTGCTGCAGGCACAGCCCGAGAAACCGCAGCACTACACCTGTTAGATACTAAAGAAGGCTTCCCCACAAACCATATGCATCTGCTTTGACTGGTGGTTTCTATCATCCTACAAAGACTGTGACTTATTGGTGAGGGCAACTGGACAACTCTGAGAGCAATTTAGAGAAATCCATCTTGGGCACACTCTATAAAGGAGCTCCTTCTCTGGAAATAGCACCCCAGATAAGTGCACAAAAGCAAGACACCCTCGTGGACCTACTTCCTCCCGCTTTCAACACCCTGATGCCTGAAGTGTGTAGAATTTGACAGCAGTATCAAGAGCTGAGGAGGAGGAGAAGATGGAAAGGAGTCTAGCGACTTAAAAATCTCATAGCATTCTCTGTGAGGTGACCTTTTTCCTGATGGTGGCTCAATTTATTTAGGTGATAAAGAAGATACTAAGACCTGTGGCAGTATCACCATGTCATATCTGAGCTTACTGCAGTATTCCCTCCATTTCCTTATTTATACCACAGTGTGATTTTCATGTTTGTAAGTTGGCTCATTTGCTCTCTGTTCATATGTGAAATGCCATACGGCCACCGTAAGTCCTAACAAAATTACTTCTAATGAGGAGGGGGATGGTCTGTGGCCCATTTTCCCATTTAATTTTGGTCTGTTTGCAAAACTACCCCCACTGAAGAGAGGTAGCTATGTTCTGAAAAGAAAAGGTTGATAAAAAACCTTTAGCATGGTGTTTTATGACTTAAAAGTTTTAAATACCAGTTTTTATATCTAAGCTTTTATTAATTTTGGTAAGAAAATTACTGTGTCTTTTTTATGTCACTTTTACTGTTAAGAGATGCCAGGCATTTGGTGGCCTGACACTTTAGGATTTGTGTGAATCAAACCTATCTAATCATGACATAAATTAGAGACTGGTACTTATATTTCCTAATTAAAAATAAACTAACTAACTTATATTTTACTATTGAAATAAGAGTACTTTATAATGAATACATAAAATGTGTATTAAATATCCAGTACAGCATGTTAAAATTAACATTTCTATTTTTATTGTAGTAACTTATTTTATGGGATTGTAATGTCTCCCTGACATATTTAAACGGCTTTTAAAGAGTTTCTGGTGTTTATTTGCTGCTGCTCTTGTTTTTCCTTCAGCTCAAGAAAAGCTTAGTTAAAAGTCAGTGTGGTGGCCAAGAATACTGACTGCAGGGTCACACTGCCACTTACTAGCTGTGGGATCTTGGATAAGTGACTTACCTCTTTGTATATGAGTTTCCTGAGAATAGCAATAGTACCTGTCTCATGGGGTTTTTATGAGGATTAAATGAGTCAACATATGTAAAGTGCTTAAAACAATGCCTGGCACTTAGCACAGTGTAAGTACTATTTTTTAAAATATTTGAATAAAGCCCAAGTCACTAAAAAAAAAAAGACTTTCCATAAAGCTGCGGTAATCAAGACAGTGTGGTACAGGTAATTTGTTAAAGTAAGATTAGTGATGAAGTTGTTTGATTTATAAAATAATATTGTTTTTCTCAATTTAATAACAATATGCTTCATGCTTTCAATCAAATCTCTCTGAGTTCTACAAAGAGCATAATAATAGGAATGGTGAATTTAAAATAGCAACTACAATTGTGCACATAAATGATTTTTTACAGAAAAATTAAGTATGTTGTTTTAGCAAGATATAGACATTAATGAATGATTACGCAATATTTAACCCTATATATTAGTACAAAAGTTGATGGAGTTTGGATATGTTGTCTCCTCCAAAACTCATGTGGAAGTTTGATCCCGAACGTGGCAGTGTTGGAAACTGATTGAGTCATGGGGGTGGATTCCTTACGAATGGATTAATGCTCAACCTGGGGGAGGTGATAGTAATGAGTGAGTAATTGCTCTATTAGTTCCCACAAAAGCTTGTTGTTTATAGGACCCTGGCACCTCTCTCTCTCTCTCTCTCTCTCTTGCTTCCTCTCACCATGTGATCTGCTTGTACCCACTGCCGGCTGCTTGTCACTCTTCTGCCATGAGTAGAAGCAGCCTGAGGCCCATGCCAGACGCAGCTGTCCTAGAACTGTAAGCCAAATAAACCTCTTTCCGGGGCCGGCCCGGTGGCTCACTCGGGAGAGTGTGGTGCTGATAACACCAAGGCCCCGGGTTCGGATCCCAGATAGGAATGGCCGGTTCGCTCACTGGCTATCTGAGTTCTACAAAGAGCATAATAATAGGAATGGTGAATTTAAAATAGCAACTACAATTGTCCACATAAATGATTTTTTACAGAAAAATTAAGTATGTTGTTTTAGCAAGATATAGACATTAATGAATGATTATGCAATATTTAACCCTATATATTAGTACAAAAGTTGATGGAGTTTGGATATGTTGTCTCCTCCAAAACTCATGTGGAAGTTTGATCCCCAACGTGGCAGTGTTGGAAACTGATTGAGTCATGGGGGTGGATTCCTTACGAATGGATTAATGCTCTCCCTGGGGGAGGGGATAGTAATGAATGAGTAATTGCTCTATTAGTTCCCACGAAAGCTTGTTGTTTATAGGACCCTGGCACCTCTCTCTCTCTCTCTCTCTCTTGCTTCCTCTCACCATGTGATCTGCTTGTACCCACTGCCAGCTGCTTGCCACTCTTCTGCCATGAGTAGAAGCAGCCTGAGGCCCATGCCAGACGCAGCTGTCCTAGAACTGTAAGCCAAATAAACCTCTTTCCGGGGCCGGCCCGGTGGCTCACTCGGGAGAGTGTGGTGCTGATAACACCAAGGCCCCGGGGTCGGATCCCAGATAGGAATGGCCGGTTCGCTCACTGGCTAGGCGTGGTGCTGACAACACCAAGTCAAGGGTTAAGATCCCCTTACCAGTCATCTTTTTTTAAAAAAAAAACAAATAAACCTCTTTCCTTTATAAATTACCCAGTCTCAGGAATTCTGTTATAGCAACCCAAAATGGACTAAAACAGAAAATTGGTACCGAGGAGTGGGGTGTTGCTAAACAGATACCTGAAAATGTGGATGCAGCTTTGGTGCTGGGTGATGAGCAAAGGTTGGAGGAGTTTGGAGGACTTCGAAGAAAAAAAGATGAGGGAAAGTTTGGAATGTCTCAGAGACTTATGTGGTGGCAAGCAGAATGCTGATAGAAATGTGGACAGTAAAGGCCATGTGGATGATGAGGTCTCAGAAATGAGGAACTTATTAGGAATTGTACAAAAGATAACCCTTGCTGCACCATAGCAAGGAATCCAGCTGCATTGTGTCCATGCCCTTGGACTTTGTGGAAGTTGGAACTTAAGAGTTGTGAACCAGAGGATTTGGCCAAAGAAATTTCTAAGCAGCAAAGCATTAAGGAAGCTGCATGGCTGCTTTTAAGAGCCTACTCTGAGTTATGGTGGCAAAAGTATGACGTAAAGCCAGAATTTAAAAGGGAATCAGAGTGTAAAGATTTGGAAAATTTGCAGCCTGGACATGCAGTAAAGAAGCAGAGAGCTGGAGAAGAACACAAGGGTGAAGCAGATAAACTGGTTGCTAAAGACATTATCTTGGTGGTAAGGCAGCCAGATGTTAATAGTGGAGACAATGAGAGGAAAGCCCTGCAGGCATTTGAGAAGTCTGGAAGGGTGCCCCACCCATCACATACCCTGAGGCCTAGAACGACTGAGTTATCCTGGAGGACAGATCTGGGGAACAGCTGCCCTTGGGATCCTGCTCCCTGCATCCCAGCTGCTTGGGCTGGAGCAGCCCCAAGTGTGGTTCATGCAGCAGCCCTGGAGAGTAGAGGCCTGAAACCTGGATGGCATCCAAGGTTGGAGAGCAGTGGAGGCGTGGCAGCCTCCACCCAGATTTCAGAGGATGTATGGAAAATCCTGGGGGCCCAGGCAGAGACCTGCCACAGGGGTGGCACCACTGCAGAGGCCATCTACTAGAGCAATGCTGAGCACGAAAGTGGGGTTGGATCCCCCACAGAGAGCCCCCATCAGGGAAATGTCTAGTAGAGCCAAGGCAGTGGGGCTGCCTCCAGGACCCTGGAACTGCAAGGCCACTGGTAATGTGCAACACCAGCCTGGAAAAGCTGCAGGTACCAGCACAGCCCAATGGGCTGCACCTGGCAGAGATGTGGGAGTGAGGCTGCCTGAGGCTCTGTGGGCCTAGATGCCCAATTGTGCCCAGGATGCAGGACTTGGAGTCAAAGATTATTTTGGAGGTTTAAGACATAATGTCTGCCCTGCTGAAGATTATTTTGGAGCTGGCAGAGATGTGGGAGTGAGGCTGCCTGAGGCTCTGTGGGCCTAGATGCCCAATTGTGCCCAGGATGCAGGACTTGGAGTCAAAGATTATTTTGGAGGTTTAAGACATAATGTCTGCCCTGCTGGGTTTTGGACTTGTTTGGGGCCTGTTTTTCCTTTCTTCTGGCCTATTCCTCCCTTTTAGAATGGGAATTTGTACCCAATTTCTGTTCCACTATTGTATCTTGGCAGTAGATAAATTTGTTTTTGACTTTTACAGTCTCAAAGCTGGAAGGTCTTTTGCTTTTGGTCTCAGGAGACTTTGGACTTTGGACTTTTAAGTTGCTACTGGAGCAAACTAAGACTTTTGGGACTGTTCAGATGGAATGATTGTAGTTTGTATGTGAGAGGAGCATGAGTTTTGCGGGGCCAGGGGCAGAATGAGGGAGTTTGGATGTGTTGTCACCTTCAAAACTCGTGGAAATTTGATCTCCAATATGGCAGTGTCAGAAACTATTGCGTCATGGGGGCGGATCCCTCATGAATGGATTAATGCTCTCCCTGGGGGAGGGGAGTAATGAGTGAGTTCTTGCTCTATTAGTTCCTGCTAGAGCTCGTTGCTTAAAAAGACCCTGGCACCTTCTCTCTCTCTCTCTGGCTTCCTCTCTCTTGCTTCCTCTCTCTTGTTTCCTCTCACCATGTGATCTGCTTGTACGGACGAGCTCCCTGCCACTTTCCACCATGAGTAAACACAGCCTGAGACCCGTGACAAATGCAGCTGTCCCAGAATTGCAAGCCAAATAAACCTCTTTCCTTTACAAATTTCCCAGTCTCAGGTATTTGTTATAGCAACACAAAACGGACTAAAACAAAAGTCAAATACAAAATTATGAATACATAAATATGCAAAATATATGTGAAGACAAAATTCATAGTATTTCTAAATATCAACAATAAACTGGCAAAAAGACTTTGAAATTTTAAAAAGTACTATTTACAATAGTGTCAAAACGTGAAGTAACAATAACATCTGAAAATAGAAAACGGTATGAACTCCGAAACATTAAAAGAAGAAATTGAAAAGGACATAATACAAGGAAGAATATTATAGAAATGAATATGCAATAATTAAATGACTTTTTTCTATATTTTCTATATTAGTTTATGTATTTTGTGTCATTCCAGTCAAAATCCCACAAGTATATGTGTTTTCATGTATAGGTATGTGTGTATGTGTGAAACTAGACTAACTAAATCAAAAATTCATATCAAAATATAAAGGGCCACATATAACTAAGACACTGATACAGACACAATGGAAGGACTGACTCTAGTGAATAGCCATATTTATCTCAAAGCTATTACAATAAGGAAATCTAACCAAGGAACTAGCATAGAAACTAAACAACATACACTTGGATATTTAATTTATGGGGAAAATGACAGTGCAGAGAAATGAATAGTGTTTTCAACAAGTGGCTTTAACCCAATTCACTTTTATTAAGAGATGAAAAGTGATATTTACTAATTTTCAAACTGTTTTTGAAATAAAATTTCCTCTAAAGGAAAAAAATAAAAGTAAAGACAAAAACAACAAACCTCTTTGAGAATAATAGGAGATAACACTGCTTTGGAATAGATTTAGATTTCCAATATACTGCAGTTGATAAACTTAATTACATTAAGTCCGAGTACTCTATTTATCAAGAAAAAATATACATACATACAATTAAGGACATAAAAAGTCAAGATACAGTGTGGGAAATTATTTGCAACACATATATGTGAAAAAAGCTCATATTCTGAACAGAAAACTTACCATAACAAAGTCAAGAGGAAAAATAAAGTGAAAAACATTGGGAAAGAAAATTAAATT